TCAAGATATAATAAAAAAAATTATATATATATATATATATATATATCTTCACAATAATTCATTTAGATTTATTTTTAAATAATAACTTTCAAATTTGAATTTCAGAAAGAATGATGCACACCTGCACGTCTTCTCTATAAAATGGCATGTCAAGGAGTTGATCGGAGGTTTCTAGCTCCACGAGTGCCGCCAAGCCATGGAGGAGTGGAGGCGCCGTTGGCACCGTCCTCAGATTGGCTAGTAGGAACCCTCACACGAGCACCAGCTGCTGTCGCTGTTACTTCACCTGTTTATAACCACCATTTCCCTTTCAAGATCGGACGAGATGGCTTGAATGGCCAAATATCAAAACAAACAAAAAACGAAAAAAAAGGGACCCTCGTCAAGGCAATGATGAGCCAGCAGCCCTTGACAGGATAGCAAAGAAGCATGTGGCCGTCCCCTTCAGTGAAGTGTCTCTCGTGATAGAGTAGTGGGATGTTTGTCACCTGAGAGGGATGGATGCTTTCGGATTCCTCGAGAATGTTTTGGAAAATGATTTAAAAATATATTAAAATAATATATATATATATATATATTTTATTTTTTTAAGATTTGTTATCAAGATTAGCACATTATGATACAAAAATTTACAAAATTTATTTTAAATAAAAATAAATAAAATTTGACCGGCCATTCCAAACAGTGAAATGGAAGATGGAACCATAAATGGCAAAGTTGACCCAATCATCCTGGCATGGCCCTGAAGTGGGTCTTCTTGAGATAGCTAGCCGTATCTGGCCAGACTTTCCTACACTTGCCCTCTTAAATATAAATAGAGTTTTTCTATTTTAAAATTGGGACAAAAAAAAATTAATTTTTGTTGTTTCTATATGGGGAAATTTGAATGTGATGTCCAGCTTTTCACGCCATCATCTTTAATTCTCTAGCCATAAAATAATGTACAAATGGACCAACTCATCTTGTATTAAAAAAAACTATATAGTTTTCATTTCGATTTTCATTTCCACGTGTAATATTAATAAGAGAGATTTCACTATATTTGTATTTATTCTCTGATTTAGTCTTTTTCTTATGATGCTAAATATATAACCATCAATGCTGATAATAAACAAATAGACTCTTTTGGAGCTTAGCCAGGAAATTTAGTGAGGGGAGCAAATTAAGAAAATCATTCCAAGAGGGACAGAATATAAACTTTTCTAGTCTTTGGGCCAAAACTATAAATTGTTCGAAGAGACTGGAGAATTTTTTAGGGGCCGGGCCTTCCAGCCCATCTAATTTAAACTTAGGGCCACCAGGAACACGACCAACCCTTATGATTAAGTTAGTATGAGAATTAGATGGGCTTTGAAATTTTGGATCAGATAAATGCTTTTTTTTTTTTTAACCTAATGATTAAAAGAAAACTGTTATCATATAAGTCTGATAAAGGAAAACCCAAAAACAACCTCGTCCTGTTGCTCTCGCAATGAAACAAAAATATATAAAATAAATCGACTATGATAACTACTCATCCATCCTATTTATAGTGCTGAGCAAACACATTAGAATTACAAAGGCTTTTGGGCTAGTGAATAGCTCAGTACGTCATATCAGCCCCATGGGCCTTTTTTGACATGCGAATGATGGGTTCTATATATCAAGAGGTATTTCTCCAATGATTTTTAGAGAAATAAAGTTGGTTAACTGGATCGAATTAATTTTTTCTAATGTAAAGAAAGTATTTAGATGTTATTAATATTTTATATTTTTAATAAAAAAAATAATTTTAATTATATGAGAATTAACTTGATATAACTCGATTGACTTTATGAATCCAGAAACAACTCATATAACCTTTAAAAATATAATTTGACTAAAAATAACTTTAAGATAATATTTTTTTTTTAATATTGAGATAACAAAGATGGTAGATTGACTTGTTTCAACCTGAGTTAATATATTAACCTCATGAATCGAGTTATGAGACTATGGTAACTTTATAGAAAATAAATCAAAATAAATTATAAAATTTAATTAAAAAATAGATTATAAAACTCAATTCTCAACTGATTCAACGTTGAATAATGAAATTAAAAAGAATTAATTAAAAAAAGATACAAAAAACAATCGGAATAAACTCAAGTTAACCTATTAAATACTATTCTGGAATAATAAGGTTAAAATAACATAATAGAAAATAAACAAAATAAATTATAAAGTTTAATTTTTAATTAAATCTAGTATTAATTAAAAAAGAAGAAGCAATGAATCAATAAATAATATTTTATAAAAAAGTTATAGTAAAATCCCTTCATCAACTAGTTTTATCGTCAGTCAGTATCTAGCAAGCGCCAAGGGGGAAGGCACAAAACTGTGAAGATATCTTTGCTGACACGGGAAGTAACCATGAGACTTTTCTTTAATAAGTCGAAAACCTCTCTACTTCTCCCCCAGAGGCCAAACCTTCCTTATTCCTTGTGGCGGACGCTACAAGGGGAGGATGTTGCATCTTCGAGGCTCGGAGGAATTTTGATGACACCTGCTTTTTTTTAAAAAAAACAAATTTATTTAAAAAAATTAATTATAAATTATTTTTAAATTCTTTTAGTATATAATGTTAAAAATAAAATTTAATACATTATTAAATTAAAAAAACATAAAAAAAAAACCCGCCGGAAAACGGCATCGATTGTTTTTGAGTTGTAGATGGAGGGAAAAGCAATGCTATCGTGGCATTTCAGATGGAGTGGAAGGAGGGGGCAGCG